CTCAACAAAATTATCTTTATTCTAAAAAAAAAAAAGTGTGCATACAAAATATAAACTTCTATACATGCAAAACAAATATCCATCAATCATCCTTAAAAGTATTTATACAAAATACTAATAGATTCAAAAAAAAAAAAAAACTTAGTTTAGCTCTCAATATCACCCACTCAATCATATCGACTACTCCCTTAACACTACCTGCAAAAATATACATCAATATATTAGTTAACTAACTTGGATGCCAAAATCTTTTCCAACAGGGGTACAAAGAGGTTCAAAATTGTTCTTAGAATCAATACTAGTTTGAAAAGAGTTAATCATTTAATCATCTCACAGAAAAAATCAAAAATCTTAAAGCAAAATCAAAGCAAAAATTATACAAAACAAACTCATCAAAATTTAAACAATAATACCTACTTCAGCAAATCTGTGATGGTAAAACTCAACCCAATACTCCCAAAACATACCAGCCCACATATACCTAAATCAACCCACAACAACCAACCCAAATATCAACTCATTCTTCAAGTAGAGTTAGTCCAGTCAAAGTTCATAACTGATTTGATCCATATTACGCTCATCCTTCAAGTAGAGTTAATCCAATCAGAGTTAGTAACAGATTTGATCTAATCCCAAATTCAATACAAGACAAATTACAAGAACTTTCTACAATTCAACAAAAAATCACTCCATAAAGCATTCAAAACAGTAAGAAATTCATAACTAGAACACAAAAATCATGTTCAGTGCAGCTTTTGAATGGCATGCAAGTTATATAAGAGGTTGAACAGGAATGTCATCAATGGTTTGTAACATCCGCCTCCTTAATTAGTTGTTAAATTATGTGATTTAACTTAATTATGTGTTTATATGCAAAATTATATGTCATGTGTTATGTGCTCTTGTGCCATGTGTTCATTGCATAAGGAGAACAAATAGAGCGAGTTAAGAAATAAATCTCTCTGAATCAGTAAACCATAAGATTAAAATTAAATAATTAGAATAGGCAATTAGAGCCTAAATCACAGTAGTATAGTTAATTTGATGTAGTATGAGTTGAGAAGAGTATTAATTAAATGACTTTGATTCATGAAGTTACATTTAGGATTAGTCAGAGTTATTAGTGCTAAAGTCATGTATTAGCTTAAATCATCAACTAAGAGGGGGTATATAGATATTTTGTAAAGATAGACCTGAGAGAATTCTAGTATAGCGATCCCGGGTTTACCCTTGTTGTACAGTGATCCGGACATGTGTCCGTAGATGTTGGTAGTTGTTTATTATCTAGTTTGCATCCTCTTTACTTTGTATATTGAGTTATAAGATGTGTTGGGCAGGTTTGTTACAGGTTGGTTGTGTTTGGGAGCCTAGTGTTGCTGCCCAGATTTTTGGACCTTTGCTCGAGCGAGGAGTTGGTCGCTCGAGCGAGAGTGAGGTTCGTGTCTGGTGGAATCACAGTAGTATGGTTAATTTGATCTAGTATGAGTTGAGAAGAGTATTAATTAAATGACTTTGATTTATGAAGTTACATTTAGGATTAGTCAGAGTTATTAGTGCTTAAGTCATGTATTAGCTTAAATCATCAACTAAGAGGGGGTATATAGATATTTTGTAAAGATAGACCTGAGAGAATTCTAGAGCCAAAAAGGGAGAGAGAGAGAGAGAACTAGGGTTCAAGAAGAGGAAAAGGGGAATCGAGCAATCTTCATCAAACTATCAAGCAAAGGTAAGAAATTTTCCTTAAATCTCATGAATTAAGGTTGTCTTCATCATGAAATAAGTTGAATAAAAAAGTAAAGTAGTGTTAATGGTTGTTAAGAACCCTAAAGATGAAGATTGTAGGAAACAGCTTTTAATTTGAGCACACATGACATCATTTTTGCTATTACATGTGAGATTGTGCATGACTCCTCAAATTTGAGGAGAAATTGTATTGATTTTAGCTTTGGCAACCACACTTTGCATTGAGTATGATTTTACACTCAAAGTTCATGATTTTGAGTTCTTGTATTAGCATTGAGTTTTGATTTGAAGCCATAGCCTCTACTTGAGTTGAGAAAGTTTGGATCAACATGTTTTTGAAGAGTTTTAACTTAATTGTTACCCATTGAGAGTTGGTTTTGGCAAAGGGAAAAACTTCGGCTCCGTTTGGTGGAGTTTTCAAAATATAGTTTCATACTCACTTTTGAGTGTGGTGTTTGTTTAGCGTTTTTAAAAATTAATTACACATTTACTTGTGAAAACTCTTTCCAATGCGGGAAAGTTTGGGCTAACCGGACGTCCCACCGATTGACCGAAACACTGTCTGTTTTTTTTTAATATATATATTACAAAAAAAAAACATTTGTGAATTTTTTTTAAAATTTTTTATGAGTTTTGAATAGAATTTTGAATTGTGTGTTTGGTTATGAGTTGTAAGTTTTTGTATCAAATATCATATGTTACATCACTCAATTCAAACTCGATTTAAAACTCTTTTCAAAACTCATAACCAAACAAATTTTCCACACTCAAATCATAATTCAAAAACTCACAAACTCAAAATACAACTCTATTCTCAAATCATAATTCTAAAAACCCTACCAAACACTACCTCCATTTTTCAGCAGAATTTTTGAATTGTTTTTCACCCAGACCGCTCGAGCAGCCCGGACCACCGCATGAGTGGCCGAGCCTCTTCTACCCAAAAATGCACACTGCTTAACCACCGTTCGTGCGGCTAGGGCCACCGCATGAATGGCCAGGTCACCGCACGTGCAACCAACAAGGCAGATTCTGTCTATTTTTCTATCTATATCTCTGACTTGTGGGCCTCCGTTTACATGATTTTCACGTGGTTTTCATGTGCATTTGTATTCATAATGAAGGTGGGAATTAAAGAACAAAAGAGAGAAATTTAGTGATGCGGTAACGAACAAACTAAACCATTATACTTGTATGTGTTGATGTAGGTCAGACGCCGCATCCTAGCCAGTTACTCCATGGGACTAACTGTGAGTAACAATATTGTAAACATATGTTTGAGTTATATTTATTTTTTACTGTTATTATTATTGTTAAGGGCTGTTTTTACAGCGATATGATTTACAAAATGAATGAATCCCACTTCATGCAATATGTTCACAAGGCCCATACTTGAGGGTAACAATACCATGGTTATGTTCATGTGGCCCATACCCGGGGGTAGGAATACCATGGTCTACGTTCACGTGGCTCTTACCCAGGGGTAATAATACCGTGGTCTATGTTCACGTGGTCCTTACCCGGGAGTAACAATACCGTGACCTATATTCATGTGGCCCTTGTCCGGGGGTAATAATACCATGGCCAAATGTGTACAAGATATCGAGTTATATGATTGTTCATACCGATTATGATTTGAATGACTGCTACATGTGCACGTGGATCGTTATCATTACTGTGCTTTTATTGAACGAATATGATATTGCTATGTAAATTGACCTTAATGTTTAAACGAGCATTATTCCTAATCTCTTTATACATTTATTATTCATTGGGTTTTAGCTCACAGTTTATATTTGTTATGTACGTGATCGAACTTAAGAAAGGACTAAAGGACGTCATCCTACCTTCTATTTTGTAAAGCCAACCATTGTGCCTCCCTTCGAGGTTTCTTTTAGTCTAACTCCAAGGCTTTTGGGTGATTATGAGTTCACCCTTTGGTAAAGTAATCAAGTAACTTATAGCAATGATCTTTTGTTTTACGAATTTTAATTAAGGGATTAATTCCTTAGGTATTGTATATGTTTTTGGTACATGTGTATGATATAGTGGGATGATTGTACAGTGATGCATATAAAGGTTTGTTTATTTATTTTAGTTTCACAGCTCATTGGACGAAGTATTGTAATATCATTGGCTTCCGCCAACCCTTTATACTATTTACTGTTAAGTGGGTCTTTGGTAATCTCGAATTACTGGCCAGTTATGTCTCTAATCCCGTGGGGCGGGGGTTGGGTCGTGACATGGTCACCCTCAAAGTATTGATGTGAGATATATTCTGATAAAATGTTGTGAACAGAATAAACTAATAAAGTTAGAGAAACACTTTTGAAGCTTGTTGCCCACTAGATGCATCTAGCACTTACAATATGTTAGTATAATGTGTTAATAATTTTCATACGTATATATATAAATTTGATAAAAGTAAAATTCATCAATTTGTAAGTATTGCACCTCTCTCAAGCTCATACTCCCAGCCACACCCTATGACTAAGAACAAAACATGTGTCGTCCAGTTCTCAATCGTTGTAGTGAACCTAAACCCAACGTCTTGTGTCATGCGTCATTTGATCGCATTAATAAATAAGGGGGTTGCTTTCGATGACATAAACAATCTCTGCAACATTGGTTCCAAAGGGAAATACCTCATTTGTTTTGCTGTTACCCGTATACCAGATTCCCTTTCATCATTTCCAACACCACCATTTAGTATCCATTTAGAACTATTGCATATAACACATTTATCAAGCTTTGCATCCTCTTTTCTGAACAACATACAACTCACTACAACAAAATACACCTTTGGCGACCAAAATTGGCGACTGAAAAAAATTTAGTCGCCAAAAGTTGTGGAATTGGAGATCAAAAATTTTTTTAGTCGGCAAAAGTACAATATTTAGTTACTAATTTTTTTTAGTAAGAATATATTGATTATTGACGACTAAAAAAAATTAGTTGCTAAAAATACCAAAATTGGAGACAAAAAAAATATTTTAGTCGCCGTGGATTGAGTTTTTGCTACTAAAAACATTTAGTCGCTGAATGTAAAATAAAAAATTACTTTTTATCTTTGGCGACTAAAAATTTGATCGCCAAAAATTTATTTTCAGCAACTAAAATTATTTTGGTCACCAAAGAACTAAAAATATTTAGAGGGAAATATTTCAAATTTTGGAGGGATTGAAATTAATTAACATTTGGCGACAAAAAAAACCAATTTGGTCGCCAAAGTGTGAAAATTTTAGACAAAACGGATATTTAGACAAAACAGATTGTCTGTTTGTCTCTCTCTCTCTAACCCAAACAAACCAAACAAAATGGAGAAATCAGAAGGAGAAGGGTGCTTGTTCAAAATAGTGGTGATTGGGGACTCAGCGGTGGGAAAATTGAACTTGCTTTCACGATTTGCGAGAGACGAGTTCGATTTGCACTCAAAAGCCACAGTGGGAGTAGAGTTTCAGACCCAGGTGATGGAGCTTGATGGCAAGGAGATCAAAGCCCAGGTCTGGGACACCGCCGGCTAAGAGTGCTTCCGCGCTGTCACCTCCGCCTACTACAGAGGCGCTGTTGGTGCTCTCATCGTCTACGATATCACTCGTCGGACTACTTTCGATAGCATCAAGCGGTGGCTCAATGAACTCAAGAGTGAGTCAATTATATTTTAATCAATCTATTTATTAGTTGTTCTGTTTTGTGGGTTTGATTGCTTGTTATTGAAGTTGTTGCTGTAAATCTGAATTTGTGTTTGAATAAACATTTTGGCTGTTTTAATGATTTTGAAATTGAAACCCCAAGTAGTGGATTTTTCTGGATTTTTCTGGTTTTTGGAGTTGACATACACCCAGGTATGGTTTTTCTTGATTCTATTTATTGCCAATTGTGTGCTGTTAGTTATCTCATTAGTCAATTTATTGAGAAGTAGACTGACTTCTTCTTAGATGTCAGGCACAGTTTAAAAACAGCAAGAAATTATCTTTTAAATTATTGGGACAGAATTCTTACATTTTTATTTTCTAGAATTTTTTTCATGGAACCAATTGAAGAGAAGTTAGGCGTTACTTTGGTAAAACTTTGATAGATTATAGATTCAAGTGCAAAGAAAATGATTGTTTCTGCCACAAATTAAGACTAATGCACTTTACCTTTTTTTTTTTTTTTTTTCCCCCTTCATTTGACTGTTTGTATCTATTTGAGAGTGTGAAAGGCTTCTTACTAATAAGGCATTGTGAGGGAAAATTTACCCTATTTTTTCTTCATATCTGGTAATTGTGTACAGCTGCAAAAATTGGAGAGGGAATACTGTTAGATCATGGGACGGGTGTAGTTGTTGGCGAAACTACTGTTATAAGGAATAGAGTTTCACTGATGCTGGTGAACTAGCTTTTTTCCTCCTTTCTTTCACCATTTATCTTATAGATGAGTCTGTCGACATCCTTGCAAACTAGCGAATAATGACTGGAAAGTAGATGACTAATTTTTATATCTTCTCTCTTTTCCTGATGACTAATTTATTGAATTCGTTTGTTGCTGGGACTGAAGGAAAGTTATAATTACATTTAAAAAAATTATTGCAAAAAAATCTTGCAAACGGTAATGTGCAAATAAAGCTTGAAATTGATAACATAACCAATTAAATGAGACTGAATATTGCCATTTTACAAAGTGTGAAGCTATTTGCAATGAAACATGGATGAAGTTGGTTGACTCTTAGATACAGATGGGTCAGAGATATGATCCTTGGTAAATGCAAATGGTGGAGAAGGTTTTATGGAGGTGATTTAGAATTGCTTGGCTATAACACTGTATTGAAGTAAGTGATCTTAATGATAATGGACTTTCTTTTTTTGGGTTTTATTCTGTGATACTACTTTTGTTTAGATGCCTTTTTATTTTGCCTAGTCCCCCCGACCTAGAGGCCTAAGGTTCATAAAGGATACTTTCGTGTTTCATATTTGCAGTATTGTATCTTTCCTTTCCTACTTGAAATGACGAAAACACCATGCAAACGAGAGAATTTATTTCTGAAATTTTAAATTAGATATGAAATTTGGGATCTTCCTTTAAGGGAGGATGTGTGAGACTCTATCATTGAAAGATTTCAGGGACAGTTGATGGATTGGAACTTGCAAGAAATATTATTTATCCAAAGGAGGTGCGCTAACACTAATCAAAATTAATAGCTTGCTGACTTATTTTATGCCTTTGTCTACTATCCCAATTTCAGTTGCGAAGAGGCTTAGAATATGTAGAGGGATTTTTTTGTGGTCTCTTCCTTCTTATTCATCATTAATTTTTGTAGTGCTATTGAAGAGGAACTAGTGGGCAAAGAGCAAAACTTAGGGCCTAGGGGTGTGCTCCCTCCAGGCCTCAAGTTCAAACTTGAAGTTTTGATGGGTCTTATTTGTGTTGGAGGCCTTTACTAGCTTCCTCCAGAAATTGCACATCATCTTGAAATGGTTCGCATAATGTTGCAGAAATTACAATGTAACATTTTCATGCTTTCCTACAAAGGGTATGCACCTGTTGCATTTCTTTATTCTCAATATTTTTGGTGGCTTTGTTATGATAATAGCAGCTGAAATTGAATTGATATATATAGCTGGTTGTCTAACTATTTGGAAAACTATTCATATTCTTCAATGGAAAACAGTTATGGGGCTAGTGATGGCTACCCTTCTCAACATGGTATCACAAAGGATGCTCAGATTTGTTTTGCAGTTGACATTTTTCATTCAGTTATGATCTTCTTTATACATTTTGATTCCATCAAATCTTAATGGACATGCTTCCCTTTCTTTTCATTAGGCTGCATTGGATCATCTAGCTCAAACCTTAAAAGGACTGACATTCCATATTTTGCTAAATAACTTTTCAAGTCGTAAACCTGGTCAGATTGGTAATCTGAGCCTTTACATTTTGTGATTTTGAAAATTCATTATAAAGTGAGAGTAGATAAATTATTGGATAGATATAGTATTGCACTAAGAATGACCTATAATTGAGACATTAATGGACTGACAAATAGGATCCATTAGCTAGTACATTTTATGGGTCTTTGAAATCATTATTACATTTTGGAAGTTTCCTGGATAATTTCATGTTAGTGCTGCTCTTTTTGTGCATTTAGCACGAGTAGCAGCTCCTTCTGTTGTTACTGTACTTGCGTTTGATAGGTAGTCTGGGCTTGCCTAATTAAGTAAATTATTGTAATTGATTTCAGAGTGTTAAATCCCTGTATTTTTTTTCTTGGGCAGTCTGCTTTTGGCATGTTCATACCAGATGCTTGCGTGGATAAAATTAAGAAGGGTTGGAACTTGTGGATTGATGCTGGAAAGAATGTGGTGAGGAGAAAGAATATAGAGGCCGTTGTGAGAAGGGTGATGGACGGCGGTAATGATGACAGAGAAGGCTAAAGTGCTGGGAGAGATGGCATTGAAAGCTATTAAAGAAGGTGGATCATCTCATAGAAATTTGCCAGTTGATTGAAGAGCTTGAGCAACTAAGAGATCAAAGGGCTAAGGATGATTGAGGGTTATTACATTGTCTATGTCTATGTCTCTGTTCTTCACTGCTTATCAGGGACGGAACCAAGAATTCATTTGCGGGGGCCAAGACATAAATAAAATTTTTTATATGAATTGATATAAATTACTATTTTTTTAATTCAAAAAGTAAACTAAAATTTAATATTAAATTAGTACGTAAAAAATAAAATCATATATTTACTAAATTTAATATATGAATAAAAATAAAGTCATGTATTAAAAAATTATTTATACAAATCAACTCAATTATCTATCAAAGTGGAACTCGACGTTCTTTCATATCTCGAAAGTCTTCAATGATTGACTATGTGGTAAAATTTTCAGCAATTTCTTTTTCAATGTACACAAGCAAAGAGTCTGTAAGAAATTCATCTTCCATTTTGTTGCGAAGTCTACTTTTGACAATTTTCATGGCTGAAAATGATTGCTCCGTAGTTGCACTAGAAACTGGAAGAGTAAGAACAAGTGTAATCACTCTATAAACACGTTGATAGATCGTAGATTTGTTTGTCCTTACCAACCATTGACACAATTCAGAAATAGTCGACAATTTTTTGTAATTTGCATGCTGAACTACATTATGCTCATAATGGTGAAGTTGCATTCTCAACTGTATTTTCTCTTGATCTTTGAAGTCTTGCGGATAAAAATTTTCTACTAATCGACAAATATCATCGATTCTAAAAGTTTCAGACACATCTCGAGGATCTAGAGCTGAGCTAAGATTAAGCAACTCTATTGCATGTTCACTGAACCGGCCATTTAATTCTTGTAGTTGAGAATCTATTGCAGCATAAAAAATATTTACTCGATAATAATGCTCAACTGTAAATTCATCTTGATGATCACGAGCTCGACCTCTTCTTCTAATATAAGGAGCATTCATATTCGGGACATCTATGTTACGTACCTCGCAAAATGATTGCACATTGGCTAGTAAAGCATCCCATTTGTCATCTCTAAACTTTTGCAGAAGTGCCTTGGTAGATGAAACTAGATTCATTGCATTTAAGATGTCTTGAGATCGGCATTGCAAAGCTTGACAAAGTAAATCAGTGATCTCCAACATTTCTTTCATGAGATGCAAAATAAAGACAAATTCAAATGAAGTTAATGTTTCATAAGCTGAGTCTGCATCTCCTCGTTGGGCAGAAGTCGTTCCATCATTAATGATGTTAAGAAGAACTTCACATGTTGGACTGAATATTTTTATTAAGCTTGAAACTGACTTGAAGTGAGAACTCCAATGAGTATCTCCAGCTCGTTGTAAAGTGCTAATCTGGTTAAGTCCCTTTCCAGTCTCGAGCTTATCAATGTCAATCATATGTTCAATTTCAGCAGCTTGCGCAACTTTTAATTCATCATTGCGCTTGCATGAGGCACCAACAATATTGACAACAAAAGTCAATTTATGAAAAAATTTATGAATTGGGATAACATCTTTCGATGCTGCCACTAAAGCCAACTGCAAATGATGTGCAAAACAATGAATATAATAAGCATATGGACAATCATTCAAAACTAATGCTTGTAATCCTTTCCACTCACCTCACATATTGATTGCACCATCGTATCCTTGTCCTCGAATATTCTGAATATCTAAATTGTGATGAGACAATACAGAATATATTCCATCTTTTAGGGTTGATGCAGCAGTGTTAGAGACATGAATAAGCCCAAAAAAAGGCTCTCTCACAAAACCATCTTTGTCAACGAATCTCAAAACTATAGCCATTTGCTCCTTCTTTGACTCATCACGAGTTTCATCAACAATTATGCAATACTTCGCATCACCAATTTCTTCACGAATTGCGTTCTTCACTTTGGTTGAAAAAATATATAAAATTTCTTTTTGAATCTTTGGTGATGTGTAAGAGGCATTTTTCGGAGCTTTATCCAATACTTTAGCAACATTATCATTATATGATCCCAACAATTTCACTATTTGAAGAAAATTTCCACGATTGATTGAATTTGGCCTTTCATCACGACCTCTAAAAGCACAACCTTGAAATGCAAGCAATCGGATTGTATCAATTGAGACCTTCAATCTTAGTCGATTATGTACAATTTGTTCAGAAGTGAAATTGTTCAATACCTTTTGTATATGTTGAAATTGATTCATCAAGTCTTCACATGATCTCTAGGCAATATTGTGAAAAGAATTAGGATATTTTCCTATATGATTTAAAAAAGCACATTTTGCTCCATCCCTGACTTTTTTCCAATTCTGAAATCCATCAATAGTGAATGCTTGCTGCCCATAATATCCAGATCCACATGGTTTATAAAAAAGAAAGCATGGTAAACAAAAAGCTGCATCTTTTGCAGGTGAATATTCCAACCATGACGGAAATAGTTTGAACCATGACAGTTGAAAGCTACGAAGATGAGTTGTTGATCCAGATTTCGGATACTTTGAAAGTATAGGTTGGTATGGACCAGCCTTAATATAAGCTCGTCGAATTTCATCACATTGATTAACATGATAATCCCAAACCTGTATACGTAATCCAGGATCTCGCTCCAATGAACCAATATCAATTTCTTTAACATCAATCTTTTGAGATTTTGTGGGAGGATTTTCAGATGATCTACAAAGCTAAGAAGCATAATCTTCAAGATGATATAAAAACATGAACCAAAACATCTTCCAAATAAAGATTATGCAACATCGCCTTCTTGTTCATCACCTACATCTATATAAGGGAGAGGGGTGAGCTGAAAACTCAGTGAATGATATAAATAATAAAAGTTTGAATGAATGATATCTGAGTTTTTATCAAAACAATATATATCCACTACTAAAAAAAGTACTTTTTGTGACCGCTACAAGCCATCGCAAATAATAAAAAAACAATCGCAAAAGACCTTTTGCGACGACCCATGCGACGGCAAATGAGGGTCGCGAATGTGGGGGTGGAAAATACTTTTTGCGACCGCAAAACAGCAGTCACAAACTATTTGTGACCACTTAATCTACTTATGGCGACCAATGTTTTGCCGTCGCAAAAAATTTTTAAAAATGCCTACAATGTATTAGCGACCATCTTGTTACCGTCGCAAAAAAATTTAAAAAAAGAAAAAGAAAAAAGCCTACAATGTTTTAACAATCTATATTCTAATATATATATATATATATTCAATAAGAAATTTCTCATTATCAATCATCATCCAAAAAGATAGGGATACCAGAGTACTTGTACGGCCACAGGATGTGGGACCCGCAACGGAGGGGATGTTGAAGGACGGTATTCAGGCTTTTTTTTTTTTTTTTTTTTTAAAAGAAGGCACATGGCCCTCCCTGGCCATCTAACGAAGAGATTGAGCCTAACCCAGCCCACAAAACAAAGCAGGACCATTTTACTATTAATAAAAGATATATATATAAATAATTTTTTTTTTAAGCGGGGGGCTGTGGCCCCTAACAGTCCCTCCATAATTCCGTCCCTGCTGCTTATTACATTTTGTTGAAATAAGGCATTTGAATGGATTTTAATAGTTAAATTTTGTATATAGTTGGAAATTGAATGCTACAAGTTGTGGAAAAATATTTTTATTAAATGGTTGAGAATTGAATGAATGGATGAATAATTTTATATATGGACAGGTTTTAGGTGGCGCAAAAAATATTACAAAACAAATTATAAAAATTAAATGAGACATTTTGGCGACTAAACAAATATTACAGGTTGGCTTTTGGCTACTAAAATTTTAGTTACCAGTTGTGAAAAAATGAAATTTTTGGCTACTAAACTTTTAGTCGCCAATTGTAAAAAGGAAACTTTTGGCTATTAAATGGTTAGTAGCCAATTCTCAAAAAGTGAAACTTTTGGCTACCAAAAATTTAGTCGTCAAAAATACATGCTTAATTGGCTACTAAATAATTTAGTCGCTAAAAGTAAAAATATATGTATTTAATAATTTAAAAAAAATATATGGCGGCCAAAGTTTTAGTCGCCAATAGGTCACTTTTGGCTACCAAAAAAAATTTAGTCACCGATTGTTTCCCCGACGATCTATTGGCGACCAAACGGGCAACCAAATATATTAGTCGGCAAAAGTGATTGGCAACTAAAATTTTAGTCGCCAAAAATGAAATTTCTTGTAGTGACTATTGGGGCAAACATCAAAAGTCTCATATGTGAAACCCAAATATTAGTAACCTCTTGAGCTTGATAATATGAACTTGGAAGTTTTGTGCCCGAAAGAAAAGCCTCATTCAAAAGCTCAAGTAACATGCCAACGGGCTTGTCAGTTTATTGATTGAGCACTTTCATATGCAAAATTCGAGCAATAAATAATAGTGAAGTAAATTTGTGACATCCTGGGTACAAATCAGTTTGTGCATTTTTCAAATGTTTAAAATATTTCAAAGTTTCGTCATTTGCCCCTATCCGAACCGGATCATCTTCTTTTACATGGCTTAGATCACTTGCCGTGCTTGGGCTGGATCACTTGCAGTTGATTCATCATTCTCAACACCCACTTCTTGAAAATTTGTTATTCAAAGGGCAAGTATCGACTGTATCAAAAAGCATCTATGTTCTACAAAACATATATCACCTGATAAAATAGCAATGTGATTACTACAAGAAGTGGGCACGTGTTATAATGTGCATATTCCTGGTAGTCACAAATTTCTTTTCTATGCATTCAATTGTTTTCCCCACATTGCAATTTCAGTAATCTTCATATATCAT